GTGTGAGGACATTCAGGCTGCCCTGGGTTACTGTGTCAGTCAGACATGTGCAGTGTGTGAGGACATTCAGGCTGCCCTGGGTTACTGTGTCAGTCAGACATGTGCAGTGTGAGGACATTCAGGCTGTCCTGAGTTACTGTGTCAGTCAGACATGTGCAGTGTGTGAGGACATTCAGGCTGTCCTGGGTTACTGTGTCAGTCAGACATGTGCAGTGTGTGAGGACATTCAGGCTGTCCTGAGTTACTGTGTCAGTCAGACATGTGCAGTGTGTGAGGACATTCAGGCTCCCTGGGTTACTGTGTCAGTCAGACATGTGCAGTGTGAGGACATTCAGGCTGTCCTGAGTTACTGTGTCAATCAGACATGTGCAGTGTGTGAGGACATTCAGGCTGCCCTGGGTTACTGTGTCAGTCAGACATGTGCAGTGTGTGAGGATATTCAGGCTGCCCTGGGTTACTGTGTCAGTCAGACATGTGCAGTGTGTGAGGACATTCAGGCTGCCCTGGGTTACTGTGTCAGTCAGGCATGTGCAGTGTGTGAGGACATTCAGGCTGCCCTGGGTTACTGTGTCAGTCAGACATGTGCAGTGTGAGGACATTCAGGCTGTCCTGAGTTACTGTGTCAGTCAGACATGTGCAGTGTGTGAGGACATTCAGGCTGTCCTGGGTTACTGTGTCAGTCAGACATGTGCAGTGTGTGAGGACATTCAGGCTGTCCTGAGTTACTGTGTCAGTCAGACATGTGCAGTGTGTGAGGACATTCAGGCTCCCTGGGTTACTGTGTCAGTCAGACATGTGCAGTGTGAGGACATTCAGGCTGTCCTGAGTTACTGTGTCAGTCAGACATGTGCAGTGTGTGAGGACATTCAGGCTGCCCTGGGTTACTGTGTCAGTCAGACATGTGCAGTGTGTGAGGACATTCAGGCTGCCCTGGGTTACTGTGTCAGTCAGACATGTGCAGTGTGTGAGGACATTCAGGCTGTCCTGGGTTACTGTGTCAGTCAGACATGTGCAGTGTGTGAGGACATTCAGGCTGTCCTGAGTTACTGTGTCAGTCAGACATGTGCAGTGTGTGAGGACATTCAGGCTGTCCTGAGTTACTGTGTCAGTCTTACATGGTCAGTGTGTGAGGACATTCAGGCTGCCCTGGGTTACTGTGTCAGTCAGACATGTGCAGTGTGTGAGGACATTCAGGCTGTCCTGAGTTACTGTGTCAGTCAGACATGTGCAGTGTGAGGACATTCAGGCTGCCCTGGGTTACTGTGTCAGTCAGACATGGTCAGTGTGTGAGGACATTCAGGCTGCCCTGGGTTACTGTGTCAGTCAGACATGTGCAGTGTGTGAGGACATTCAGGCTGTCCTGGGTTACTGTGTCAGTCAGACATGTGCAGTGTGTGAGGACATTCAGGCTGCCCTGGGTTACTATGTCAGTCAGACATGTGCAGTGTGTGAGGACATTCAGGCTGCCCTGAGTTACTGTGTCAGTCAGACATGTGCAGTGTGTGAGGACATTCAGGCTGCCCTGGGTTACTGTGTCAGTCAGACATGTGCAGTGTGTGAGGACATTCAGGCTGCCCTGGGTTACTGTGTCAGTCAGACATGTGCAGTGTGTGAGGACATTCAGGCTGCCCTGGGTTACTGTGTCAGTCAGACATATACAGTGTGAGGACATTCAGGCTGCCCTGGGTTACTGTGTCAGTCAGACATGTGCAGTGTGTGAGGACATTCAGGCTGCCCTAGGTTACTGTGTCAGTCAGACATGTGCAGTGTGAGGACATTCAGGCTGCCCTGAGTTACTGTGTCAGTCAGACATGTGCAGTGTGTGAGGACATTCAGGCTGCCCTGAGTTACTGTGTCAGTCAGACATGTGCAGTGTGTGAGGATATTCAGGCTGCCCTGAGTTACTGTGTCAGTCAGACATGTGCAGTGTGTGAGGACATTCAGGCTGTCCTGAGTTACTGTGTCAGTCAGACATGTGCAGTGTGTGAGGACATTCAGGCTGTCCTGAGTTACTGTGTCAGTCAGACATGTGCAGTGTGTGAGGACATTCAGGCTCCCTGGGTTACTATGTCAGTCAGACATGGTCAGTGTGTGAGGACATTCAGGCTGCCCTGGGTTACTGTGTCAGTCAGACATGGTCAGTGTGTGAGGACATTCAGGCTGCCCTGAGTTACTGTGTCAGTCAGACATGTGCAGTGTGTGAGGACATTCAGGCTCCCTGGGTTACTGTGTCAGTCAGACATGTGCAGTGTGTGAGGACATTCAGGCTCCCTGGGTTACTGTGTCAGTCAGACATGTGCAGTGTGTGAGGACATTCAGTCTGTCCTGGGTTACTGTGTCAGTCAGACATGTGCAGTGTGTGAGGACATTCAGGCTGCCCTGGGTTACTGTGTCAGTCAGACATGTGCAGTGTGTGAGGACATTCAGGCTGCCCTGGGTTACTGTGTCAGTCAGACATGTGCAGTGTGTGAGGACATTCAGGCTGCCCTGGGTTACTGTGTCAGTCAGACATGTGCAGTGTGTGAGGACATTCAGGCTGCCCTGGGTTACTGTGTCAGTCAGACATGTGCAGTGTGTGAGGACATTCAGGCTGCCCTGGGTTACTGTGTCAGTCAGACATGTGCAGTGTGTGAGGACATTCAGGCTGTCCTGGGTTACTGTGTCAGTCAGACATGTGCAGTGTGTGAGGACATTCAGGCTGCCCTGGGTTACTGTGTCAGTCAGACATGTGCAGTGTGTGAGGACATTCAGGCTGCCCTGGGTTACTGTGTCAGTCAGACATGTGCAGTGTGTGAGGACATTCAGGCTGCCCTGGGTTACTGTGTCAGTCAGACATGTGCAGTGTGTGAGGATATTCAGGCTCCCTGGGTTACTGTGTCAGTCAGACATGTGCAGTGTGTGAGGACATTCAGGCTGCCCTGGGTTACTGTGTCAGTCAGACATGTGCAGTGTGTGAGGACATTCAGGCTGCCCTGAGTTACTATGTCAGTCAGACATGTGCAGTGTGTGAGGACATTCAGGCTGCCCTGGGTTACTGTGTCAGTCAGACATGTGCAGTGTGTGAGGATATTCAGGCTGCCCTGAGTTACTGTGTCAGTCAGACATGTGCAGTGTGAGGACATTCAGGCTGTCCTGAGTTACTGTGTCAGTCAGACATGTGCAGTGTGTGAGGACATTCAGGCTGCCCTGGGTTACTGTGTCAGTCAGACATGTGCAGTGTGTGAGGACATTCAGGCTGCCCTGGGTTACTGTGTCAGTCAGACATGTGCAGTGTGTGAGGACATTCAGGCTGCCCTGGGTTACTGTGTCAGTCAGACATGTGCAGTGTGTGAGGATATTCAGGCTCCCTGGGTTACTGTGTCAGTCAGACATGTGCAGTGTGTGAGGACATTCAGGCTGCCCTGGGTTACTGTGTCAGTCAGACATGTGCAGTGTGTGAGGACATTCAGGCTCCCTGGGTTACTATGTCAGTCAGGTATTTAGTGCTTGGGGCCATTCCAGCTGCTGTTGCCTGCTGTAGTGTTCTTCCCCACAACTATCTCTTTGTGATGGCTGTGTTATCTGGTGAGTCTTCTTTCCACAGTCTCATAGCTAAAGGTGCTGGTTTCACAGAGACTCAGCCATTTTGTGTACAATAGCAAAATTGAATCTTTTTCTTAAAACAAAGGAACATCCATTTTTTTGTGTAGGTTGTTAGTCAGTACTTAAATTGCAGTATTACTGGCATTCCACTGGGTCTACCCACTTATATAACGGACAGCTTTTGCCTAGCTGAATTCCACCGTGTCACCATGAAAAAGAATGCCCTGTGTCACCTGAGGTGACATGTGGGCCTGGGTCATCAAGCACTGGGAGAGGGGAATTCTAGGATTCTCAGGAGGAGGAAACAGGATGTCTCCCCTTGATCATTGCACATTCTGTTCTCACACTCCTGTGTCACACACTGTACCCCGTCAACTCATAGTTACGAAGATCTGGTTTAGAAGAAGAAATCTGCCCAGGTTCCAAAGACATAGGTGTCGGGATGCTCACTGCTCATCTGTGTGTAGTAGATCCTCTCGGCAACCAGTTGGGATGCCCCTCGACAGGGAGCAGCACACGTGGGCATCGTCACTGGTCTAGGTGGAGAACACTTCCCACCCCCCAGCATCCTGGTGCACTGTCCTTCGCGCCCTGCTCTCCCTGCCAGGCTCCCAGCCCTCTCCTAGCCCTCTCCCCTGGTAGCCATTGGCTCCTCCGTTTCTACCTGTTGATCACTTGTGGAATCCTAGGGCAGGCAGGCTTGTGTGGCGCTCTTCTTCAGTTTGCATGGTTTCCAGGTTCTTCCATGTTGCTCCGTGTCTTTTTACTGCCCGGTGACGTTCCGTTCTGTGGAGAGACCCCTGTGTTACGCTCCGTCACTGCCACAGCACACCTGGGAAAGGCACTCACAGAAGGCAGGTTTCTTTTGACTTTCAGGTCCCCGTGCTGGTGATGGACATTGTGGGCAGGGTGAAGCACAGCTGCTCACTGCATCCCAGCTGGGAAACAGAGTGAGGCGGAGGGGCAGCAGTGCCCACCACCTCCCAGGAGCCCATTTGCTTAAGAACCCCTCAGTGGGGAGAGAGGAGATCCCTGTGATCCAGCTGCTCCCTAAGCTCTACTTTGGAACGTTGCTGCACTGGGGACCAAGCCCTCATGCAGTCCATGAGCCTCTGGGGAACATTGTCACCCCAAACTGTCACCACCACATATATGCCTTTACGCGTCCGTGCGTTCCCCAGTTGGTGGCGTCTGCACTGTGTTCCCTCTTTGGCTGTCCCAGTGCTGCCGTGACCTCTGTCCACAGGAGTCCAGTGGACTAGGTTTCTTTCTTTGCGATGGCTGTGTTGTCTGGTGAGTCTTCTTTCCACAGTGGCTGCACCGTGAAAGGTCTTTTGAATTTCTGCTTGTTTGGTAGTGGTCTGAATGAGTAATAAAATAATACCAATTCTTCTAAAGTTAAAACAATTCTTTGCCAGGGTCAGCAGTTCCCGGCGCTACTCACGGATCCATCTCTCTCGGGCCAAGGTGGAGCGGGCTCACCGCAAGTCATACTGGTGAGCCACACCCCACAGTCTTCATCAGGCACATGTGAAGAGATTGCCTACCAGGTATGCGTGTCCTTTTATCCACATGCACGGACCTCGGGCTGGCCCATGTGGTTGGGCTGACCTTGAGGGGGCATGCGTCCGTGAGCCCCAGGTCTGTGTGCGAGTCACCTGGTGGAGGCCAGTTCTATCCTTGGGGCTGTTTGTAAGACTGGTTTGGCACCTCCAGCCTGGATGTGTCCTTGGGGACAAGCGGCCCTCTCCAGCCCGTCCTTGCAGCCTGCCCACTGCGGAGCTCAGGCAGCACTGGCTTGCCTTAGGGCTTGCAGGGGCTGTTTCTGCTCTGTCACTCCACTTTTCCTGAGAACTGGCGGCTGGTGAGTCTAGGGCTTCTTCCAGCAGGAGCCTCTGCTTTCGCACCTGGGCACCGGTCCCCTGCTCCCGCCTGAAGGCCCGTCGCCCTGTGTCCACATCGCTGCTTGTGGACATTTGCTGCCCATACTGAGGCTGGCCCTTCCTGGCGCTTGGCCTGTGTGACTGGTGCCCTCACCTCAAGCCTGTGCAGTGCCCAGCCCCCTGCCACGTTGCACTCGCGGGATCAGGAGTAAGGCGCAGGAAGGCTTTGGGTGGCGGCGATGCCCTGGTGGATCTGGAGCTCCCGTGCTCCGCACCGTGACCGAGAGCAGGAGTGAGGCTCTGGCATTGTGCCAGGCTGCTGGCCCTGAGCTCAGCTGGTCCAGGGGGAGTGTCTGGTAGGGAGTGAGGTTGTTGGAGACCTAGGGTCAGCAGATCGGTGCCGTGCCTCGGGTGCACGCGCTGGCCTTCAGCTCCACTCACCTGGCTCCTGCTGGGCAGCCCTGGGCCTTTGACAGCATGACCCAGAGGTCACTGGGTTCCCCTGCTGGCCTCTCCTCTTGAGGGCCAAGCACCTCGCGCCTCTGCCTTAGGCCTCCACTCCCAACACAGGCACATCCCACACATACGCCACACGTGCACACACCACACACACACCAGACATCACACACACATACACTCACCACACCCACACACACCACACACATACCAGACATCACACACACATACCACACACACCAGACATCACACACACATACACACACCACACACACACCAGACATCACACACATGTACACTCACCACACACACCAGACATCACACACACATACACTCACCACACACACACCAGACATCACACACACATACACTCACCACACCCACACACACCACACACACACCAGACATCACACACACGTACCACACACACCAGACATCACACACACGTACACTCACCACACCCACACCAGACATCACACACACATACACTCACCACACACACACCAGACATCACACACACATACACACACCATACCCACACACACCACACACACACCACACATCACACACATACCACACACACAAACCACACACATATATATCAGACACCACACACACATACCAGACACCACACCCTCCACACACACACACACACCACACCACACACATACCAGACACACATCACACACCACATACACATACCAGACACCACACACACATACTAGACACCACACACATACTAGACACTACACACACCCCACACACACACTAGACAACACACACACCAGACACACACCACACAAACATACCGGACACCACACACACATACCAGACACCACACACACATACCACACCCACACCACGCACACATACTGACACCATATACACACTAGACACCACACATACCCCACACACACACTAGACACCACACACACACAGACACCCCACACACACATACTAGACACCACACACAGACACCACACACCCCCCCACACACACTAGACACCACACACCACACATGTACAGTAGACACCATACACACACACCACACACACATACTAGACACCACACACACACCACACACACATACTAGACACCACACACGCACCACACACACGCACACTAGACACCACACACGCACCACACACACGCACACTAGACACCACACACACACCACACATACACCCCCCCCACACATACCCACACACACACCATGTGCCCACACACATTCCCCCCACAGATTGGAAGTGCATGAGGCCTGGCTCCAGGGGCATGTGTCTCTGTGACGTGGAGATCTCGTCACTTGCTGTGTCCTGTGTGTCCTTCCCCTCCTGGCAAAGGGGTTTCAGCAGGTGTCTCTCAAGCCCACTGCGCTGCCGGGGGCCCTGCACGCCCTGTGGAGTCGGTCAAGCTCTGCGGAGGTGCCTCCGAGGCCATCGGGCACCTGTGGCCCAAGGTGGAGTGAGGCCCTGGGGTGCTTGCGCCCTGGTGGCCTGCTGCCTGTTGGTGTGGGGCAGGGCTGGTGTGGAAGCTGTTTTTACAGTCAGTCTCTGTTTTCCCCAGTCCTGGGGCTTTACCCTGGGGCTTCCAGCCTCTTCTAGTTTTTATTCTGAGACAAGGTCTTTCTCAGTGACAAACCTGGCCTTGAACTGAGGTCCTCCTGCCTCAGCCTCCGGATGAGCTGGGGCCACAGGCCTGCGCCACTGCGCTGGCGGTTTCTCCTGAATGAAGTGGGTCAGGTGCTGGCGTCTCCCTCTACACGCCAGGCACTCCGCCTGCTCTGGGTTCTGTGCAGTGCTTGGCGCTCGGTGCCAATTCTGCCAACCACGTGGCGGGTTTTTATCTGCAGTTATAGAGTAGCAGCTTGGAGGTCATTTTTTACAGGAGTCTTTAGCTTCTGTGCAGGCTGTTTATTGGTTTCTTCACAGACAGGTAGACCACGCCTGGCTTGCCATGCATTTGCGGTGTCTCTGTTTGGCTCCCTCCTCCCTCCATCTGTTTTTTAATAGCACAAATTAACCACCTCAGAGCACCTTTGAGCCCTTTGCTGCTGTGGAGCATGTTTCTTTAATGAGGGTCCGTTTCCCTGTGTCCCGTGTCTGTAAACCAGCGTAGGTGAACCAGGACGGCGCACTGACAGCCCTTCGTCCCTGCCAGCTCCGTGTCTGTCGGGGTGTGGCAGTGGGCCTCCTCTGCACTCACTGGTCTTCACCCATGGAGGTGCCCGGGACCCCCCCGTTTGGGGGAAATGCCTTATTTCACCACAGGCTGGAAGCCTTCCTGAGGGCTGTCAGGCTGTCTGCTGAAGCAGTCGTGCTGCGAAGCCGTGAGGCTGGCCCGTGCCCAGGCCGCGGCTCTTCCTGCAGGCAGCGTGTCTGCCTGCCCGTGCCTTTGCCCAGGTGGGGTCCCGGGCTCCCTGCATCGCTCAGCCGGTCTTCACCTGCGCTGCGTCAGGTGCCTTACTGCTCGTCGCTAGGCTGAGGAAGGGGCTTGTGTGGTGGCTGCCTGGCCCAGGTGGCCAGAGAGGACGATGGGGCTGATCTGCCCTTGGCTGGGGATTCGAGTGTGCCAGGCAGCCGTGCGGAGGCAGGCGGGAGCTGGCTGTGGTGCACGGCCGCTGTGTGGTGTGGGTTGCTGGGTTGCCTTGCTTGTGTGTCTGGCAGTCACAGGCCCTGACTCCTGCAGGTGGCCGATGTCTCCGCCCTGGCCCCAGGCAGCCAGCCCGAGAAGGACAGCCTGGCGCACCAGTGCCTGGAGTGTACCCGCACCTTCTCCTCGGCCGCCGTGCTGGCGCACCACAGCAAGGAGGCGCACGGCCGGGAGCGCATCCACGGCTGCCGCATCTGCAGGAAGGCCTTCAAGCGCGCCACGCACCTCAAGGTACGTCCCTGGGACCGCACCTGTGGGCAGCACACACGGGTCCTACTGGCGGAAATAAGTGCGCTTCTCCCATTTTTCTCCAATGAGAAGGACAGTGACGTGAGTGTGCATGCCCGGGTGCTTAGTCCCAATAGGTGTTGTGCACAGAGAGCTGACTGTGTTCGTGTGCAGTTCAAGTCCGTCTCCGCCAGGCTGAGGAGGCGCTGGAATGCCCTCTTCCCTGTCGGGCTCAGGGCTGAGAAAAGCTGCCAGCGTGTGGCAGGAGTTGGAGCAGCCGGTGACTGTGCTGGGCAGGGCGTCCCGCTGGGCTTAGCAAGTGTGCGCCTGCTCACCAGCGGTGCCCTTCAGCACAGGTGAAGAGCTGCACGGCCACAGGGCCGGGTGGTGGGGTGAAGGGTGGACGTCCAAGGGAAGCCTTCGCAGGTGGGAGGCAAGAGGAGGGCTCTGGGGAGGGGCTTCTCACGAACCCCCTGGTGTTCCTCTCCGAGGGGCTGTGCAGGGTTCAGGTTAGGTTGGCTCTGCTGTGCTTGGTGTCCACGTCCTTGGTCACACCTCCCACGACGTGCATCCTTGCTGCAACCTGCCAGAACCCTGTCATCTCTGCCTAATCACAAGTAAAACATTAAGCGAATCCCAGTGAGGGACATCCTGACCCCTCAGCTGGAGGTCCTCAGACACAACGAGAGAATTGAGAGCCTATGACGGCCATGAGGAGCCTGAGCAGACATGGGGCAGAAAGTGGGCTTAGGGAAAGCTCGTTTCCGTGAGGCGACGGCTTGTCCACACTCTGGTTCCTGTGAGCCACACCCCAGTACTGATAGAGGATGGTATGGGGTGGTTTGGGGGGCGCTGCCCAGTTTTTCTGTGAGCCTAAAGTTGTCCTAAAAATCTCCTGGTAGTAAACTCGGCAGCGTGCACAGGGACGTGACCACAGCAGTGGTGCCTGGAGGGGGTGTGGCATGAGCGCAGAGGAGGTGGCCCGGTCTCGGGCTCCAGGGGCCTGTTTGCACTTGGTGCTGTGGTTGTGCTGCTGCGAAAGGGAGAAGGCAGAGGTCTCAGCTGCAGCGCCGGCTCCTTGCCGCCCGCATCTTCCTGAGGGTGGAATTGTGGAGGCAGGCACAGGCAGAACGGGGTCTGGTGTCCTCAGCCATCGCTGGCCTCTCAAGGGACTGGCTGCCTGTGACCTTCGCTGTGGCTCGATGGCTGCATGGATACTGCAGGTGGATCCCACCTGCAGCACGTCTCTGCCCAGTGGCCAGCAGCATGTGCTTTCCCAGGTCCCCTGACCTCGTGCACTGCCCAGCGTCCTGGAAAGCTGGGCCTCGCTGTGCTGGGTGGAGACGGGGCAGGGCAGTGAGAGGCACGTCACGTGCAGTCAGTCTTGACTCTGCCTGAGGGGTCTTTCCTGGGGACTCTTTATTGTTCTGGAGAAATCGGGCTCTGGCAGATGATTGCTGCTTCTGTGACAGTGGCTTTGAAGCCTTGCTTTGACCTGGTTTTTCTGGCTAACTCACCTGGCAGCTGAATGTCCTCACTCCTAAGATCCCTTCTAGATTCAGACTAACCCTCCCTTTTTAAAGAAGGGTTTTTTGAGAGCTAGAGCAATGTGGTTGCTGATGGCATCTGCTTGAGTGCCTCTGGGGACAGGCCTGCCCCAGAGTTGGGCTTGGATGCAGTCCCTGCTCACCCACTGCAGGCTGTCAGCCCCCTGGGTGTCTAAGAGCCGTCCTACCAGAGCAAGCTGACCCCCTCCTCATGCTGCAGCATGCTGTCCCCACCCCTGGGGGCAGGTCCCTCCACCTTCTGACGTAGGTGACAGCAGCTCAGTGTCATCTGTCAGAATCATGGCCAACATCTGTTCAACATAAATGGGCTGGAGATGAGAAGCCACGGACTCCCAGAGAAGACTCCAGGTAGAACCCCTTCTTGGGAAAGAAGAGGGTACTGACTAGAAGAAACCGGGCGGGCGCGAACTTAACAGCTGGCGCCCACTTCTCCAGGGGTCCACTTCACAGGGCTGTTGGGATCTCTCCTTTTAGATAGATGGATAGATCCTAACAGGCCCTGTAAGGAAGTGATGGGAATGAGGTGCTTTACCAAGCACTCAGTAGGAAGGTGCAGGAAGCAGGTGTCCCGTCCAATCTCTACCCATCCTGCCCCTGACCAGTCCAGCACTCGCGACCCCACAGGGAAAGCTGGACCTCTGCCCGTCAGAAGGAGGAAGCCCGTGCTGATGTCCTGCAGGCCCCCTCAAGCTGGGTGCTCTGCCACCACTAGGCCCCAGCAGCCCCTGCGCTCACCTCCTGGCCCTGGATGCAGGCCTCGCTCCCACCTCCCACTGTCAGCAGAGGAAGTGTGCCTCCTCTGTGTGCCCTGAGCTTCTGCCTTCTGTCAGGCTCCGCCAACAAGGGAGTGCTGAGACAGACAGACAGACGTCCTTGTGAGGAGAGGCAGTGCTGTCCAAGACATGGAGGGAATGGGGCCAGCAGACGTCTCTCTCCATGGTCCCCTGACAGATCACTCCAGGAGTCTGGTTCTGCTCTGCCCTAAGTTGACGTAGGAAACACCAGGTGCCTGTGGACAAAGAAAATGGCCCCAGAAGCGGTGGCTGTGTCCTCAAAGGCTGAGTCCCACGGATCATGTGTAGATAGGACAGAGACTGGAGGACAGAAGCCCAGACTGAGCAGGGAAGGGCAAGCCCAGCTGCTTGCAGGTGAGGGTGGTGCAGGCGTGTGGAGCTGCGGGTGTGGAGTGCTGCGGGTGTGCCTGCCTTGTGGCCAGGCCCAGCTGGAGTCCTGGCTCCGTGCGGCTCTGAGGCTGGGACCCAGCTTCTCTGGGGCCTGGTTCTCGTCCCCGGTTGCCATCAACCCACCTCCCAGTGGTTCTGGGCATGGGCTAGCATGGCGTGGGAGGCAGTACGCAGGGCACCCGCACAGCAGACTCTCCTCCTCACATAGGATTCTTCCTTGAATTCTGCCTTAGGGCAAGAGGCAGAATGACCACACTCCTATGACAGGCTGGAGAAGGGGGCAGCAGGCGTCCTTGGGAGCCTGCAGCCCGGCAGCTGCCAGATCTCTCAGAAAACACCAGCACGCACACGCAGTCACTGACAAAGGGGCAGATCTGCAATGTTCAAGGCCCCAAATGACATGGTGGCTTCAGACACCCAGAGTTCCCTGTGAAGGGATAGTTGTGTCCTGGAAGAAGTTGCCCAGAGGTGCAGGTGTTTGGGTGGGAATCTCCTGGGGTCTGTAGGCGAGGGCCACAGGCCTTTGGGGAGCCAGCCATGGGCCATGACTTCCAGATGGACTTGTGTGTCAAAAAGAGACGAGGGGAGGCTTCTGAGGGCTCTCACTAGACTCACTGTTGATGTCCCGAGTCTCCCAGGGAAGCCCCAGCCTGTCACCGTCTGGCTGCCGACCACCTCCATCCTAGGCAGACCTTGCCACGCACTTGCACCTTTGTGGTGATTTGCCCTGCTTTGCTGTCCTGAGCCCCTGAAGTTCTGCTGTGGTCTGATGTGCCCTTCGTCCCTCCAGGAGCACATGCTGACGCACCAGGCCGGCCCCTCCTTGAGCTCTCAGAAGCCCAGAGTGTTCAAGTGTGACACTTGCGACAAGGCGTTTGCCAAGCCAAGCCAGCTGGAGCGACACAGCCGCATCCACACAGGTGAGGCGCAGGGGTGGCCTGCTCTGTTGCTCCTGAGTGGACAGCCAGTGTGAAAGTGGACTCGGTGTGCAGCGCCAGAGCGGTGCTCCGCGATCTTCAGGAAGCAGTGTCTGCACGCTCACCTCTCCCCCGACTTGGGATGGATGGGTCAGCATTCCTGGGTTCTTCAGGGGAGGTCTCGCTACTGGCATTGTCACCACAGGAGTGGAGGCCATCGGGAGTGAGCTCCGGGCCGTCACCTTCCCTGCCTCTGCTGAGAATCGCAGAGGGCTCCTGCCAGCCCTCCCGCCACACCCCGTCTCTCTGCAGTCTGCCTGTCCCGCCTCCCTCTGCTCAAGCCTCGTATCCCAGGGAGAAACAGCGCAGAGACAAGCCCTCCGCGGCCCCCCCCCCCGGCCTGAATGACCCCTCTGCTCACCCGTCCTGCCCCCATGGCCAGGGTATCGCTCTGCCCCTTCTGACCCCAGCACCCCACATCTGCCACCACCAGGGCAGGGTTCCCTCTGGCTGTGTCCACTGAGGGCCGTTCTCTGCTCCCTGTCAGAGGACAGCCAGGCTGGGACCTGCAAGGCAGACCTGAGCCACTCATCCCCGCCTCCACCTCCGGGTGTCCAGCGTCCTCTGTACGGCCACGCCTCCTAGTGCGCAGCTGCCCGCCTGCCCTGCTCAACCTGCAGGTGTTCTCCCCGCCTGCTGCCTGCTGCCCCTGACGTGTCTTCAGGGGCATCTCGAATATCTCTTCCCCAAGGGTCCCCGTAGCTACCTGAGCTCAAGGCCGGCCTGGGACACTCAGGTGCCACCCTGGTCCATGGCTCCCTGGATGGGTCCTGGCATGCAGGCTCCGGGCACATGGGGCCACATGTCTTGTTGTAGGCTGTGGCCTGGATGGTAAGCTCAGAGGCCACACCCACCAGGCGTGCAGCACAGAGCTGCTGAGTGGGACGCCGACGTCTGTGCTGTGGCTTGGAACAACCAGTAGACCGTCGTCTTCCTTTAGAATGAGGTAGATGCCCCGCGAGGGCGGGGCAGAACCACGCAGCACCACTTAGTGTGGCATCAGGGTGAACAATGGAGTTACAGTCCCTTCCAGTCTGCAGTGAAGTTTTGTTAGGGTTCCAGCAAGTGGGCCTAGTGGGCTGTGTGACAAGGAGGTGACCGTGACCTTCTGCGTCCCCAGGAGCCGCAGCTCAGTTGGTCAGAGTGCTGAGTCCACATCAGCCAGATCTCCGTCCATCTTAAGGTCTCTCGTGCTTTGTTAACTATTTCTGTTACATTTCTAAAAACTAGTGACTGAATTGTACGTGTCCCTGATTTTAATGTGAGTCTTTCCATTTCTTCAATTATTTGCTACTAATCAACCTGTGGACCATTAAGGATTTAAATGTTTTTGATATTTTGAAAGTACTGTTTCTATCTCTGTCTCCACGTTCCCCATTCTCTCTGCAGTCAGGGGGGAGTGGCAGCAGCCCTGAGGCCTCTCAGTGCTGGGGGCGTGGAGACGGGTGTCTAGACTGAGAACCATGTCTCTCCACTCAGCACCCTGGCCTGTTGGTGGACAGCAGGCTGCCTCGCACCATCTCGTGTTCCTCGTGCTCTCACCTACGTCCTCCCCAGAGGTGACTGAGCCTGGGAGGCGGAGACGACATGCAGCCCTAAGCCACCAAGGGCGCACACGCTGAGGCGTGCTTCTCCAGCAGCCTCTTGCTCCCCTCCAGGCCCGTCTGACCCTCAGTGCTCTGGCAGTGTTTCCTAAGTGTTCTAAATCACACTGAATCATCTGCGATTTTAGGAGATGCGAGGCGTGGGAGTGGGTGAGCGGCTCTGCTGTAAGCAGGTCAGTGGTGCTGGTCAGCCATGTTGGCCCTCATAGCGCTCAGGGCCAGTGGTGCTGAGGCCAGAGCACAAGGCCTGGGAGGGTCGCTGCTTGGGCCCCGCAGGCCAAAATCAGGACTTCACCTGGGCCTGGGTGCTCTAGAGAGGCTCACTCCCGGGGTCATCCCAGCTGGGCAGAACCTCACTCTTTGTGGCTGTGGCTGTGCCCACAGAGGAACTACTCTAAGAAGCTGCATGGTTAGATAGGACGCCCTGCCGGTCTCCCTTCTCATCAGACTGCAGCAGGGATGGGGCCTCACCTAAGTCGTCCCTCCTTGCAGCCCACGTACTTGGAGGAGTGAAGTCACTAGAGTCAGGGTGAGGCTGAGGGCAGAGGCCATCTCTGCTCCGCCATAGGCTGTTGGGGCACAGCCTCATCTGCCATGGCCCCCAGGAAGGAAGAACAGATGCCGCGCAGCGTGAGTCAGCATGTATGAGCACACGGCGATGCTTGAGGGCAGCAGCAGGGCCACCACACAGAGTGGGTGGGGAGGAACCCTGTGGGCAGAGGGGAGAGGCCATGCCCCACCCAGGGCACTGGAAAGCTGGCCCCAGGGAGGAGGATTGTGGGGGCCCACGGGCAGGACAGCGCGCCCGGCCTTCCTCCAGGTGGCTCCCGGTAGGCAGCAGTGTGGCCACTCTTCCTTCCATCCTGTATTAACGTCAAGGCATTCCGTGGAATACGAAAAATATTGCATATATTTTACTTTATATTAAATGGATTTGATTCTCTGTCCTCGATATGTCTCTGCTGCACAAAATGCATCGGAGGTGTTTTGTGTAAACTACATGTGTTCTGCTTTGATTTCTGGATGCTTCTGTGGCTTTTAATAGCTTTTGATCAGCTTTAGTTTGTGTCTCAACACAAAGTAGATTTGCCAGAATCCTGCTAATTAGCAATCTGAGTGACAGTAATAGGAAGAACATTGCTGTGGTCTTTTTAAAAATCGTGCGTCTTCTTGAGAAGGGGTTCTTTCACATCTGTGGCATTGACGGTGGCTTTCCTGTGCAGGGGAGCGGCCCTTCCACTGCACTCTCTGTGAGAAGGCCTTCAATCAGAAGAGCGCCCTGCAGGTGCACATGAAGAAGCACACCGGGGAGCGGCCCTACAAGTGCGACTACTGTGTCATGGGCTTCACGCAGAAGAGCAACATGAAGCTGCACATGAAGCGGGCCCACAGCTTCGCAGGTGAGCCCTCCTCAGAAGCAGGCCTTCGGCTGCGCGTTCTGCGTGTGCTGTTCCCCGCAGTGTGCACAGTGGCTGTGTGTAGACCTGAGCTATGGGGGAACTTAGCTAGAAGAGGTTGGAGAGGCCAGAAGTGGTGAGGTCCAGTGGGCGGGGCAGGCCTGGAGGCCTGGACGTTGGTTACTCCAGTGCCTGGTGTGGTCCCATGCCAAGTGAGGAGGCTTGGATCAGTGACTGGTGGCCCCTGCTGATATCTCAGTCATTCTAGCTCCCAGGAGCAGACTGGAGCAGGCTGCACACTGACGCACCCTGGGGAGGAGCGCTGCTCAGTGCACACGGAATCGGAGGAGATGAAATGTCCCATTTATTTAGACAAGGACGTAGAAGTGCCTCAGGAGGCAGGTGCCACCCAGAACCTGCACACATGCAGCACTCCTGGTTGGCTTGCTTCTTACTGGACAGAGCTAGCTATAGTGAGCAGTCAGGGCCTGGCACCCCGAGCAGCGGCTCCATGTCTGTCTGCAGTGTTACTGGAGGCTTTGCCCTGCACTCAGCAGGTCAAGGGCTGTTTCAGGGCCCAGGGGTCAGGGTCAGGGTCAGCCTGGTGGGGGCACACAGGGTCTGCAGAGATCAGGGTCAGCCTGTCCGCTTTCTGTCTACTCGGTGCAGACCACATGTGGGCCTCTGTTTCTCTGCGCTGATCCACGAGGTTCATTCGTAGCAGAGCAGCTGTTGGGGTGTGATCTGAGGCTGCTCCTCCTGGTCTTCGTTTCCCGCACAGAGCCTAGCATCAATGTCTATTTAAGGACGAAACGATGACAGAGAGCCGCAGTTGGCTCACGGTAGTGGTAGCTGTGCAGAGGAGTGTGGAATGTTAAATCTGTGAAGAGCCCTGGGTGTGACCAGGGGGTTTTGCGTCTGTGTGTTTCGAGTGTGGCAAGGTTATGAAAGAGAGTGTGCTCTGAGAGTGACAGCAGACCGGCCTTCCTGTGCCTGGTGGGGCTGCATCTAGATGTGTCTGGGGTGTCTAATAGAAAGCAGCTCATGTTATGGGGAGTTGTTCTTTTTAACATCTGCACCGTAGAGCTCCTGCTTTCCTTCTTGTTAGAAAAGTCATCTGTGTTGTTGACATTAATTGTTAGTCACTCATCACGGATCCCGTGTGGACGTGTGGACGCACTGAGTGCCCGTGTTCGTGTGCATGCCATGCAGTCTTATCAACAGACTGGTTCACTGGATGGAGAGCAAGGCAGGGTGGTGGTGTCCGTCTTGGTTCCTGTGAGGCTCTGAAGGTGGACCCTGGGTGCTGCTGAAGGTCTGAAGCTATTTTCTCTTTGCTGTCTTGCAGGAACCTTGCAGGGCACAGCTGCTCCCCCGCAGCAGGATGGGGAGGAGCTGAGGACCCTGCACCTGGAGGAGGTGGTGCAGGATGCTGCGGGCGAGTGGCAGACCCTTACCAACGTGTTCTGACGCAGCGAGGGCACCTGAGCTGGCTCTGCAGCTACGTTTATGAAGAACAGAGCGCTTGGAATTTCTATTTTAAAGCTTCAAGTGTTAAAAATGTACCACAATAGTTTTTTAGCTATAAAATTATTTAAAGAATCATTGTCTTTCAGAGACTTAGAGGAAAAAAACTGGGAAAAATGTAAACAGGTTGTTCTCATTTGTCTACGAATCACTGAACTCAGGTACTACAATAGTCAGCTTCACCTTCTCCATGGCCAGTGTATCTAGTTAAAAAGAAATTAACTGGATTTTACTGTCATTGTAGTGTGATTTCTTTGTATTAGCAAAGACAAAAGTTAACCTGGAAAAAGTATGTAAGATTTTCCTTCATGCTTTCTGTTATAAGAAGCATCGCTTACAAAACAAACCTAAGATAGGTGCATGAAGTTGAGAAAAATGTCGTGACACATGGGAGGGTCTTCACTTTTTACTCTGTGCATTTTGGAAGTTAGTGGTAGTCGTCTCTTTTTAACCTTCCCTAAGTGAATACAGCTGACACCCTGAGAGATGGCTGGACCAACTCTCCCTCACAGGCATCTGGTCACCAGCTGGAAGAGCCAGGGTCTGGGGCAGCAGGGAGAGGACACCTGGCCCCAGGAGGACCAGCCGTCCCACAGGTGGTGAGAGACCTGCTGTGTGCATCTGCTGAGGCTCAGGGTGAGGCCGCTGCAGAAGCACAAGCCACACCGTGGTAGGGAGGGCAGGATGGTCTCCTGGGAGCAGGTCTCTGCCCTGCCTTCTCCACGGGAGGCTTCTTTTAGGTTAAGGGTGAGAACTCCCAGACCCCATGATTCCTCTTCATGCATAAAGAGATGTGTCTTTTATTTCAGGGAATTCTTTATTGTCCTCAATGGTGCCCGCTAGACACGTCCCCACCAAGCCCCATCCGGCTGGGGCGGAGCGCGGACGCTGCGTCCGGCAGCATTCCAAAGGCCGAGGTTCGCCACGCCGTGCTGGTTCCCTGTGGGTTATTTATATGTTCTATATATAAATGCGATGTACATAGTATGGGCCTCTGTGTGGCTGAGCAGTATATTTTGTAAATAGAAGCACTAGTCCCCGTCCCGAGTGCGCACCTGAGGCTCCTCCCACGAGCACTTCAGACCCCTGGTCGTTGTTAATAAATGGATACCTTTCCCACCGTAACACAAAGCTGGGTTTTATTTTCTTCTGAAAGATAATTGCCTTTGTTTTTCTCTCCGCCTCCCTGGCTCCAGAGGAGAGTCGTGTTGTTGTAATATCGTGTGGATTTTGTATATCAAGAGGAGTCGCTCAGACTCCTAAAGAAAGAGACGTCCCAGTGTTCTTCTTGAAGGGCATCTGACTTTGCTGTTCACCTCTGTGTCTGTATATACGTCACACTGCGCTGACATGAAGACTTTTGTTATTTTGTGAAAATATTTAAGTCAGAAAACTGTTGAATAATATTACCTTTTCCCCCAAAACTGCTTTGTGTATTGTATATTTTTTTAAGAAGAGAAAAGCCTTATTTGACCTCTTGTGAAGCTGGACTTGTGACCCCGTGGCCCCCAGAGGCCAGCCCGCTCACTGGCGTGGCAGCATTTTCAGAAAAACTGTAACTGTGCAAGAGTTTTAAAGGCTCTGCTTTTAATGCACTTTTTCTTTTATAATTTTGTATTAAAATATTTTAGATATGTTGATTAATTTTAGTGAACAAATATCCCCAAAGTTGAAATTATTGGAATTTAAAGTTTTTGTTCTTGCTGGTTTATTTATTTTGCTTTTAACATTAAATGTCATCTCAGGACATCTCCAAAAGGGGGTGTTTAGTTTCTAACTATATAGAGAGCAGAGTGTGTGACTGTGTGGTTCATTGCTGTTTAAGTAAGGCCTTACCACATGAATCTGAAACCTACTTTTATTTTGGTTAAAGAAAAAGAAAAAAATTTATCAGTAGTCCATTCTGTGTCTTTTCTCAGTTTATTAGCAGGCAAACACAAGACGTGTATGTATTATTTGGGTTTACTTTCTAATCATAAAAGCTGCTCCTTTGCAAAACATTCCTTGAAAATACAAGGTTTTAAAATGATATGATTTCACTTGAATGTTTGTGGTGTACAGGTTGATCTTTGTATTTTACTGGCTGATTAAGAAGTTGTTTTAGGAAAGAGATTTCTAGCCTCATGCGTAACCAGGGTTTTGAGGATAGAGAGCTGTATTTTTAGAACTGTCTCACCAGGGCATATCTGCTTTGGAATAGCTATAAATACAAAATGACATTAAGAAATGTGATTAATGTTTTTTTCCTTTAGAAATATTTAAGATACAATTGTTTGGCACATGAATTAATTTCAAGTTCAGATATGTTTACCAGAGAAGAACTTAGTGATATTTCTTTTACCTCTGAGGCCCAGACCATGGGAGGTAACCCTCGCAGTGTCTACCTGAAGAGCTTCGGACCGAGAATCAGGGTACGGCGTGGAGTAGGTCCCGCACAGCGCCACCAGGTCACCTGCACCACAGCCACGCAGGCTGCTTTTGAGAGTTTGTAACTGCCTTTAACCCGCTCATGGTAAAGGAACTGCTAAGCACTTACACGGGCTGAAAGAAAGGATTCCGTTTCCAAAGATGTGAGCATGAGTCTGCTGCGGCTCGTGCAGCCAAGACAGCGGGAGTGATCTGGCGGACAGAGCACCGGGAGGGCGGTAGGTGACAACAGAAGCCGCTTTCACCTGCTCAGCAAGTGCCACTCAGCCCCGTCCGCTCCTGGAGGTGATGGCCACGGCTCAGCACCACCGTCCCTGTGCCATGGGACGAGCCCCGCGCTGCTGAGGCAGCGTTTGCTGGGGAAAGCATCTGCAGTCTGTTCCTTTGTGTCCTCCCTCGCCACGTTCAAGGAAATTGGAGTCTTAAAATCATAGCTGCATTTTGTACCTTCCTTTGAACTTGGGTGCTTTTGTGTGTGAGAGGTTCAGGCCGCAGAGCAGGGGCAGATTCTGAAAGTAGATCTCGGTTCTTCCTGTGGATTTCTCTCTTATTGAGAAGGATGTTCGTAGCTCATGAAGATCCACATTTCAGCATTAACGACCACCACAGATTTATGTAAATAACATTTATAGAGAAGTATGTAAGGTGTGTAAACTGCTTGCTGGTCCTGACTTGGAGGGGGTCTCCCACCTGCTTCTTAAGTTCTCCCAAAGCTGATTTCAGTGGGCGTCTGCCCTCCCCCACCGAGAGCCGTAATGCCTGCTGTGTGCCTCAGCCTCCTGCAGAGTGGGGGGCAGACTGCTGGACCCAGAGCCCTCTTTCACACTTAATTTATTCGTGCAATGTGGGTGCTTTAGGATTTTTAGAGTAAAATTTCAAAAGAGCCTACATATACATAACCCAATTTAGTGTTACATATCTGCTTGGGCCCCTGGAAAGCAGCATTTTGAAATCTGGTTACGTCTTTTGCATTGTCTGGTAATGGGTCAGCAGAGCTTCGTGAGTCCAGAAGCCCTGCACACCCCCTGACAGTGACGTTTCTTCACCTCGGTGAGCACGAAGCCACCGTTACGTGGTCTCTGTGCTCCTAGTTGCCCCTTCCTCCGACACACGGTCCACTCGCCCACTGCCTCCCAAGGCGCCTGGTGGTTTCTTAGTGGATGACTAATAAGCATTTAAAGCACTAAAAAAAAAAAAAAAAATCATTAGTATCAGTGTCAGCAGCAATAGGCAGTGATCATAAAAGATTTTGCTATTTAATCTTTTCTATGTGTAACGCTTTACAGCATGAAGACTTTTGTATTAAATCAAGTTTTGTATTATATTTGACAAGTTCTAAAATGCCATAGTGATTGTTCTTGAGTCACCACTGAAGAAAATTTAATTTTTTAATTTACAGACGAGTCCTCTTTTTATCTTCGGAATTGTCTCATGGTCTATTTATACATTGGATGATATTTATTTAATCCAATTTTGTATTAGAAATGCATAGTTATGCCAAAAGCCACTGTGCTGGCTTTTAAAAATAATAAAGATAGTTTTTGTATTATTTTAAAACTCCTGTATATTTGCTTCTTGGGGTTTGGGGCAAGTGGTCACCGATTGGAGTTGGTGGTTTTCTCTGGCTGTCGCCCAGCGAGGGTCCGTGCAGTGCAGCAGGGTGGCTGTGTTGCGAGGCCACCAGGCCTCCTGCTAGGGACGACCATGCTCCCTCTCGCTCAGAGGGTGCTTGAAAGCAAGTGGGCACGACGCCAGCTTATCTGCTTACAAGGGTGCAGATGCTGGCTTTCTGGAAATACAGTGGAGTTGGGTCACAGCTTCTCCCCCTTGGAGACAGCGTGGGATCTGGGTTGCTGTGTGTCGCACGGCCGGCCAGCCGTGGGGAGTCTGGGTTGCTGTTGCCCTCCTGCCTGTGTGGCACGTGAAGAACACCATGCCTTAGACCACTCTGCTCCTCACTCGGGAGGGAGCAGGCCTGGTGTGGGCCAGTGTGGGCAGACGCCGGTCTCCGTCCTCAGCCCGCTGTCTTCAGGAAGCCTAGGCTCAGATGGGTCCAGGTGTGCTGGTGGGGAGGGGCTTTTCACGTGGGCAGCTTATAAAACCCGTCTTGGATCGTCTCTGCCCTTTAGCCTTCTCAGAGTGCTCCACTCTCCAGGAAAGCCGGCTGCTTCCTTGGGTTCTGGCAGAGGACAGGAGTGCCCAGGACCAGAGACAAAGGGGTCTGCTACCCTTTTCTGGGGGTGGGGGGTGGGACCAAAGCTCCTTTGGGGTTATTGATAGAGGTTCGTTCACTCCAGGTTCTGGGACAGATGTCCCTGGCTCAGGTCACAAAGTGAATGGAAATGTTTTCACAAATGTGATTGGCTTACTCCACACCGAGAGCTTTCCGTGATGTCTGGTACCTTTGAATATTAAATCAGTCCCCAGGGAAAGTACACACTCTCCTCACGTGATGCTTTCCACCACTAAACACGTTCCCCGTTTCCATTTCTCAGGGCAAAGCAAGAGTTACTAACAGTGTTAACAGAGTCACATGCTGTTTCAGTAACCCTGGCCAAGCGGTCCCTGGTTCCCCTGGCCTAGCCAAGCTCGGCAGGGGACTGTCTTCCATGTAACACACGCAGCCCTTGGCCTGACTCTGCCTGGGTTCCTAGTGCTGGGTAGCCACGGACAATGGCTGCCGCTGCTTGGGCCTTTTGATTTGGCCATGTAATTATTTTGAGTATTTTCTTACTTTCTGGCCCAATGAATTGTTCTTCCCCAGCTCTGAGATCACCCATTTTTCCCGAGGAGCCCTACTTCCTCTTTGTGGAGAGAGTCATCAGAATCCAAGGCCAATCGTAGGTGTGCTTCCTGCCATCTAACCAGCGGGCAGCGCTGGGGAAATCTGGAGAGGGACATCGTCTGCAACTCCTTGTTTCTTTACATAGAACCATGCTCCACAAAGGCGCCCCTCGTCCCAGCCAACACAGAGTCCCCCAGCTCCCTTCCACATCTGCCCCCCCTCTCCCCCTGCAGCTGTGTATGCCTTTTCCTGCCCTCTGTCTCCAGTTCCCGCGTCAGCCCCTGTTCAGGCCCCTTCGCTCAGCCTGGGCCCAGCCTCCATGGCCCCTGGGGAGGGGGAGAGAGCTGTCTCCTTCTGTTCGTGCACAAGCACTCGGGGGCCTGCTGTTTGCACGGCCTTCATTGCTCATTGCCCTGGAGCTTGCCTGTAAGTTAGGGATGAAAGTGTCCCAAGGGGACCATGCAGCCATGCAGCTAAGGTTGTCCCTGGGGCCTTGCCCTTGAGTGTGGTAAGGAAGGTGGCAGGTGCTGCCGCCTGAGGCTGGCATGGGCTGGGACGGGGAAGGACCTGGCCGGTGCTGGGTCTAGCTGCAGGATTGTCCCTCTGTTGAGTCCCAGGAGGCTGTGAGCTTCTGGAGCCAGCAGCATGTGTCTGCTGCTTCACAGCAGGGACTGCTGAGCAGAAGAGACTCAGCCCAGGGGCCTCCACCCTGCCTCCGAGCTGTGTGGGAGGCCCGTGCGAGCATGTGAGTCCAGCGGAAGAACCAGAGGACTGATTCGGCGTCCAGTGTAGACACTGCCAGAGCGTTTCGGAAACTGTAATGACAGATAAAGCACAGCCTGGACTGCACTGGTGGATTCCACCTTGGTTTCGATTCATTTGGAATCCAGTAACTGTTCACTGTTGAGAGAGACCACCATAGAAAAATGCGCTGATTCACTTTACATTACCCTTTTGGAAAAAGAAGCACTGATACTGCAGAGTCTTGGGATTTACTCTTAGTATCCTTCCGTGTGGGGTTTAGGAAATGTTTGTTGCATGTGAAAAACAGGCACCCGTTGTGCACTGACTTGTCCTCAGAAGCAGGATTTGAAGCTCTAACTCCCAACGCGCCTCCTGTAGAGACGGACCTTGAGGAGCCGCTGAGAAAGGTAGCCAGGCAGAGCTGGTGTCATTGTGAGAGGAGGGCGCCCGTCTTGGCCACGGTGGAAACAGTGATGAGAGGCCCACCGGAAACCAGCCCGCCAGCACCTGGCCGTTGGACTTGTAGCCTCCAGACTGTGACAGCCTAGGACTTCATTGCTTAAGCCCCTGGCCTCTAGCGCTCTGATCTGGCAGCCCTGGCAGACCCAGCCAACACCGAGAACTAACAGATGGCTTAGCCCTCGTGTTAGTGAATCGTGACCAGCAGCTTTTCCTCAGCCCCTTTCTGTCTCTCATGGTCTCCCAGTTCCAGTGTCTTGTGCGTGGCCCAATTTATGAAGGCCCCTTCACTATGTGGGAGTGCTCATCTTCTGAGCCAGGTCCCCTCCAGCCTGGCCCAACCTCCACCCTCTCTCCAGAGGACTTGCTCTGTGACTGGCTGCCCACAGCCCAACCTCTGGGCTCTACCACTCACTCGTGAGTAAGTCCTGCCCCGGGGCCCTGTGGCTGGCATTCTCCCTGGGGACTAAGCAGCATGGGTGGCTGTGCGGCTTGATGACGAGTGTCCACGGGGCTGATTCTGATGTGCAGTTTCATGCCCTCACCCCATCATCTCTAGATCACGGCAGCAGGCCCAAGCCAGCTCTGTGCCACAGGAGAGCACCCACGTCCGTGAGGAAGGTTCTGGAACCCTTCTCAACAGAACTCAGCCTGGAAATGGATTTTTGTCAGCTTTCAGGAGAAGCACTCAGACCTGTCTAGATGCACGTTCAATGGCTCAGTTTTTATTTTGCTTTAAAATATTTACCTGAATATTGCATGATCATGTAAATGCTTCCTTACTGTATTATATACCCTTGGTTTATTTACCATCTAGGTCATTTCTAGGAGGGGAATGTATGTGACTTTAAAATAGACTCACCAAGTAAAAGAGCGCAAGATCTTAAAATCTAATCATCTTTGCGTGATTTTCGAGTCCCACATTCAGAAGGGTTTGTGTACAGAAGGGAAGAGGGAGGAGAGTGGACATTGGGCTTTGAGTCAGTGTAACAGCGCTTGCAGGGCTCAGGTGTCCTGACCCCCAAATGGTGGCCTTCGGCACCCTAAGGTCCTTGCACTTGGTCCTTAATTAAGCTGGAGCCTGGAGCAACATGCCCCCCCAGAAAACCGGCTGTGGTCTCCACGCTCGTTCTGGGTGGGTTTCCTTCCCGCAGTTCCTGAATGCAGCTAGTTCTCACAGCCCCGACTGAGCAGACAAAGGAACCCTGGTTCTGTTAGGAGCTACCCAAAAGGGACTCTGGTTTATCTTTCTGGAATAGAATTCCTATAACCAAAGGCAACTGTAAGCGAAAAAAGAGAAAATCCCTTAATGCAGTCTGGGAAACACTTCCCTCTGCCCAGGAAACTGTGTATGATCAAGAGTAAGTTTCCAGAATCCCTCAGGTCACATCCCCAGGGCTCTCACGCGGGCGAACCGCAAGATGGAGACCGACTTTAGCAGCTTCTCTTCAGAGCAATTAAAATTCCTTCCTTGAGAGCGGGCATTGCCTCTGATTGTCGAGGCGTGGCATCTGACCATCCACCCCTCTGAGGGGGGTCAGAGGCTCCGACTGCACCCCTGGGATGAGCGCTCCCCTGGCCCCGAGACGAGCCTCGTGCTCTATGAGCCAGAACACGAAATGAGACACCGTGCAAAGATGGCTGCAAGTTCATTATTTTATTTCCATCTTCAAGAAGAGTGAGGTCCCCGTTGACCCATGTCCGCAGCACCCGCTGCGTGGACAGAGCCATGGGTGGAGGTCGCGCAGCCTGCACTGCCCCGAGAGGCCAGCGCTCTAGGGAACCATTTGGAGGGTTGGTTTCAGGGATCGGGCTGCTTTCCCTCTTACCCTCTCGTGGCGGAGGCTGGTATTAATAGGCATTAGATAGACCCACACCGAACATTCAGAATTAGAGTGGGATTAAGAAGAGACGGGTGGGCATCGGGCTACCCCCCATCTCTGCTGTACAGGAGATGATGCCAGCGTGGGGCTCGGGACGGGTCTGAAGACAAGCTAAATCAAGAGGCGGGTGGGCAGGGCAGGGCAGGGAAGGAGGGTGCGCAGAGCTCCTCCTCCCGAGGTCAGCCAGGCCCACCCCGCGTCAGGTTAGTCATTCAGGAATGGGCACACTCCTGGAGGACGGGGCATTTCTAGGAGGGGAATGAGGGGAAGGTTAGATTTTCTTGCGGGTTAGTGTGTGCCAATGGACACTGCCAGTGTGAGCCACGCTGGCCACGCCCAATGCTAGTGACCGAAGTGACTCTGTGAGGCCGCCCAGAGAACTCCTGCAGTCGCACTCTGAGATGCAGTCTCCTGGACTCTCCTTGGGCTCTGGGGAGGAAGCACTTCTTCACAGTGGCTGCTCCGGGGCCACCTGCACGACGTCTCCAGTGCCCAACTCCCCAAGTTCCCGTTTCCTGCCTGGGGCCCTCGCCCAGCCCGTGTGCCTCCTCTCCCTCCCTCTGCCGTGCTCGGATTCTGCAGGTGGGGTGTGGGGGGCCGGCCTGGAGGCGCCCCCCTCTCTGCGCCGCCCCACACTGGTCTCTCTCAGCTGCCCAGCCTGCGTCCACGTACCAAAAACTCCCTGTGTAGTAAG